AGAGAGAGAGAGAGAGAGAGAGAGAGAGAGAGAGAGAGAGAGAGAGAAAGAGAGAGAGAGAGAGAGAGAAACAACCAAATACCTGCTCCTGAGGCTCAAGGGCATTTAGAATTAGGCCCTCCCCTCCTTTACATGGCTGTGGCAGGGCTTACTGTCAATCAATGTTCACCACTGATACCAATCAGGATGAGAAGCATTAGGCCAGTCAAGACTCTGTCTACCTCTTTAGGAAGAAAATCTATTTTGAGATATCTTATCTACCGACTTATTCCTGTAGATTTTTAAATCCCTTATCTCTTATCATTCCTAGTTGATTACATTCATGGGTCAATGTTCTTCTGTCCATCTGTTTGACCCACCATGTATGGTTTTCCCATTTTATTCTGCTTTGATTTTTTTTTCATGTTTCCAAAGCCCACTTGGTTACAATTTTTAACAAATTTTTTTCTATGTTTTTATTTTCATTCTTCCTGACCAGAACAGCCAACCTCTTGACTGTTCTGTTTCTGATTTCTTGTCTCCTGTTCTCCTATCTATGGCACACAGAAGAGCACAACTTTTAGAAGAGTGAAGGAGAGGCAAAACTAGTTCAACTTAAAGGAGTGATCTCAGTCATGGCCCTTCTAGAAGCCTGTGGTCCCCACTCTCCTAAATCCCTCTTTCAGATAATAGGATGATGGCAACCATTGAAAGATTTTACAGAGAACATGCTCACTCTAGGTAAAGTATTAGAGGGTGAGTAGGGAAGAATAACAATTTTCTTATTTAAAAATCACAATTTATGAAAAACTTGACAAAGGAGCTAGATGCATAGTTGCATGATGTCACATTTGCTGGGATTTCTGTGGTATGGAGAGTTAACTCAGGGGCTTCTACATGGTAGGGAAATGTTCTAGCATTGAGCTACATCATTTCTGGCCTATGACAATTTTTTTTTTTGAAAACGACCTTTTCAAAATGTCACTAAAGGCATCCTTTAGAAATCTATAAACCAAACCTAGGCATGGCGATTATCTATCTTCCATTAGCTATGCTAACAGAATCCTTATTACAATGAGGAGAATGTCATTTGCATCATTTGGTTCATGAAATCAAAGCATAGAGAACAGTTTTATACACCACACCACATATCTTCTGAACCAAACAATATGTCGTCACATGAAGAATTGTTTCTGTAAGTATATTAATTTTTAACCCATGGTGACTGCTTTTAATTGATGAGGAAGAAGGCTGTGTTAACTGCTAAGGTTTTTTTTTTCCTTAGGATTTCCAGTTCATGACACCCTTCCATTTGGTAACAGATTTGGCTGAGTGCCTTATCTGTCCCTATGCAGCAGTAAGTATATGCCCCACCTGTAGTAAGCTGTCACCATACTTTCCTGCAGAAGTTTGCTTATCCACGAGCAGTTCCCAGCAGTGCCTGAATCTCTTACATGTTGCTAGGGATATCCTTTGGCCCACTTGAGTAGCCCACTTGCAAGGCTCTTTCAGAATAAATCCTATGGCATTTACTAAAACCAAAACTGACATCCTTCACAAATGGATAGACTTCTACATAAATTATAAATGAACAATAAAAATAGGCCACTATATAAGCCAGAGACAGATATAGCACCCTATTCCATGAACTTACTGATCTTGTGGGATGTTCAAAATAACTAAGGTTAATAAATGCACATTAAAACAAAAGAAATATCTTTTTGGTTCTTAAAAATATTTCTCCCTGAAGTGATGATTCTTTCATAACACTGTCTCAAAGTACCTAGCCCTGACACAGTTCCACTGGGGGAAAAACAAAACAAAACAAAACTCTTAGATCATTACTTAAAGGTAGTAATGAGGCATTTGATATAAGTTAATTCCTGGAAAGGAGGTGGCAGCTATCTCACACAGTCATGGCTACTGTGCTTAGCACTTTCATTGACAGCAGCATTGAACACATCATTAATTGTAAAGCAGCAATTAAGGCCCAGGTGATACACAGTGTGAACTGACTTTGGGTACTTCAGCTCCAAAAGCAGCAGCTAAACTCGAGAGTAAGCTGTAGTTGTCAGAAGAACTTGCCAGACAGACAGCACTACACACACCCTTTGGATGTTTGGCAGCTTCTCTTCTCTTCTCGGGTGAATATGGTATGCAAGTCTATACGTTCCACAGCGATAGCCTGGCTCTTTGGCTTCTACCCATACAGTGCTAGGTAGAGTACATTCCATTTGTCAATGCTGCCAAAAAACAATGAAGCCGAGAGAACAGGACTTACACACAAAGTCATGAGAACACCCTTGTGTTTGAGGAAGCTGGGAGGAATAACTAAAGACCGCAGGGAGAACACATTTCAACACACAAAGGGTGCTCTGTACAGTAGGTGAGCTGACCCCACTCAGTCTGGCTGATTATGCCCATCCACCTCTGCTTTGTGAGCAATGTGTCCTAATGTGGATGCTATCTTTGCCTTAGTGTTATGAATGACGGGACAAATAATCACAGCCATGGGGCATAAGGAATGGTAAGAGTAAGAACTCGAGACCAGTTTGAGCTACAGAATGAGACTGCCTAGACATAGAAAACATGGGTAAGTAGGACCTGATTGTTCTTGTGTTGACCATATCTATGAAAGCTATAACCCCAAAGAACTTCCCACAGTACGTTAGTAGATAACGTCCAAGGAGAAAAAGCATAAATAACATAGCAACTTATTGCCTGAGTACTGTATCTGTTATGGTAATATAAGTCAGGGATGCTGATCATTGCCGAGGAAGTTGGACATTTCTCTGCATTAATATAGGATCTGGAAACCAAAACCCACTATCCAGGGGATTAGCAATATGATCCCTTCTGTCACCTTTCACCCACCTCCCAAACCTATCACCTTCTTTCTCCATCTGTCCCTTCAGCCTTCACTGACTGTCCATTACATGTACAGGTAACGGCCATAGCTAAAGTTGACCATGGCCAGTGTTCCTTAAAACGAACCCATTTAGATAAGCCATAGAGCTATGAAAACTGCCATTAATACTGCGGAAAAACATCAAGCACGGGCCAAAGTGGTGTCAATGACTGAGTCCTACCTAGAGGACTGTTCAGCAAAACCTGGCAACAAAACTGAGATGCAAGCGACTGTTATAAAGCTTGCTAGAAGATTCATTTCTATTGTACTCTACCTAGATGAATGTCACTGACGCAGCATTGGTACATAAACCCTGAATAAATCAGAGCAAAATGGGATGGCTGTCCACATTGGGATTTCATTGTCTCTTGGGAAAAATGAAAGGAGAGGGCCTAGTTTGCAATAGAAGTGGTCAAATAACTGTGAGGCATTCAGTAAACACAGACAGCTTACTCTCTTGCAACTGCTTGCCAAGAATTCATATTCCATTAATTTGTTCACATAATTAAACTGATGAATGAGTTAAGAGAAAAAATTTTAGTCTCTTCTAAATATGATTATGCCCTACATTCAGTATCTACACAATTCTATCATGTTTCTTACAGAAGTTCCACAACAGAAAAACTAAATACACTCACACTATCACAAATTAGTATAACCATTTAAATATTGTATTTTACTTTATTTTAAGACAGAGTCTTATCTTAGTACATTGCCCAGGTTGACCCAGAATTCAAGATCCTCCTGCTTCAGCTTTCTGAGTAGCTGAGGTTGTAAGTAAGTGTCATGGCCCTAAGTTTTATAATAGTATAATGTCCGTATGATCTGAAACGCAAGTCAAATTGCATGTGAACACTAAACCCTGAGCATCTCACTGCTGTCTACTTTTGCAAAGACACTGAACCAACATCTGAATTGCAATGTGGTGTTTTCTACTCATTACTAAGGATTTCTTTGTGGAAGCACACATATTTTTTTCTGCAGAGTAGCTCAAGTTAAAAAAAAAAAAAAAAAAGCAATGCTGGGCAGATGGTTTCCCCATCTCCCTGGTAATAAATCCGCTTTCCTTGTTAGTACCACAGGCAGAGAGCACCAACAGACCAGGACCATGACACAAATCATGACACAAATACATGCCTCTGCTAAGATGCCAGGCCAGTTTCTTTGGACAATGAGCAGGAATTAGGAGGAGAAACATCGGATCCCTGAGAGTAATCTAGAGAATCTATCCTTCCTGAGTGAACATGGTGTGTTTAAGACAGGTTTTACTGATTTACTTGTGGAAAATTAGGTAAATATGAGGTTTACTCTGTAAACTATGTATACAAAAACAAACAAAAACAAAAACAAAAAAAACCAAAACAAAACCTCTTAACATTCCTATATGAAGCAGCCAAACTAAAAAATGAAAGTTTTGAACCTTACCTGTATCTTGAATGTTTATATACTTAGAAATCTGCAAAGTTTCTTGCTCTTCCATAGCCTGCATCTTTTGTTTGTTAGTTTGTTATGTTTGCTTGTTTTTAAGCCCAAATCCCTTCAAATTATTATCCTCACCCAGAATGCAATAGGACTCCTGTGCTGGAAGCACCCTGCACTGCTG